CTATTCTGCTCTGCTATTCACTACCGTGCTTTCTCCATACAACGCTGTGACATAATATTAATAAACAATTCCAGATGTCAACCAAAATGGACAAGGCTACTCAAATTCCACGAGCACCACAGAAAGACGCTACCACACAAACACCAACCAAAGCATTTCTCCACGCAGCAACACAAACAGGAACCGACAACACCAAGCCAACTACCAACACTGCAACCCAAACAAGGCGTTTCCACCCTACAGGACAAGCCAACATCGCGATACAAACACTGCTCCACAAAGTGCCAGGCCTATCATCAAGGGCGACTCAAACGGCTTGACTCTTCTCCGAACATCGATTCCCTGCGCTCTTCCGAGGCGGCGGGGGAATATAGAGAACATTCTTTACGAATATTGGAATGTTCTCTATGTGAATTAATTATAACCTTATGTCAAACATTTTCGAATACGGTTTCCGGTGACCTTTTCTCCATGACGATCTGATAACCTTATGTCAAACATTTTCGAATACGGCTTCCGGTGACCTTATGACTAACATTTCGTCGGCGGTTATCTCATGAAAAACATCTGCGGTTACAGTCGTATGCTTTGACTATCGCCTTATCAGATTGCAACGCTTGTGAAATGTTTCCGGTAGCCGTCCTTCCGCATACTGTAGCCTGACTCCACCTACTGTAACCCCACTCCACCTACTGTAACAGTGATTTTGTCGATGGATCTGAGAACATATGCGATCGTTCTCTTTGCTGGTGTGATTTTTTTGAATCGCTTCAAGTCTAGTAATTCTTCTATTGGAGTGGTAGTTATTGATGTAACTGTGCATACTTGTGCCCTTTGTATGCTTTCTTGTTGCAAGGTAGGATGGCGTTGTTGATTTTTTGAATGTAGTCCCTTAATGAATATGGATGGACCCTTCTCACTACATGTGGTTTTTTAATTCGAGTTCCTCTTCAATCCTCTTGTAGTGCAGTCAGCAACGTTATGATCAGTAGCTGTGTAGCCAAATTGTACGAGCGTTGGTAGGTTTCCCACTATTCGGTGTATTTCCTTTATGCTATTCTTCACCAACACTCCAAGCGTTTTGTGCACCTCGTTGAAGCGTATCCGGCCGAGAGCGATTTCTAATTCCAAAAGGATAATTATGCTTGTGAGATAAGTGTGTTTGTTTAATGCTGTAAATATGGAGTGTGTTAACTGCGGTGGCATTGCTAGTGCATCTAGTTAAAGCTTAGGAATTGTGGGGCTGTCCTCGATTGATGGTAACCTAGACTTTCCAGTGAGTTGTTGTGACTAGTTCTTGGAGACGACGTAGATACAACTGCACATGCAATGTTTGCTAGTATCTGCAAAGAAAATTAACGTGGATGAAACTCCGATTTAGGAGGGTTACATAAATTTTGAAGAAATGGCTTTTCTCTCAATGGGAGTGGCGTAAGAAATTCCATAGTATCGTAGATGGCGGTTACCTGCTTGGCGACTGTAAACTTAGTTAGCTTCGTTTTTGTTGGATATTTTCATGAGGCAAGGAATTCAGCTCCCATAGAACAACATAGTGTTTCTAAGACCTTTTGTAGAGTATTTGATGCTCGATCATTTTCAGGAGTTTACTATAGGAACTGCTGGTTGCTTGAGAGGAATTCACGTAAATTCATGTTCAAATCCTTAAATATCTGCTTTGCTTCTCTGTACGTCGTCAGCGCCTCATCTATTGATGTGGTTGTCGGAATCAAGTTATCTATATATGTGTTGTTGGTAAGGTGTTCGAAGAGTTTTGGGCACTTCATTCTGTTCATGACTTCGTGTAAGCCATCCACGATGGTTTTCGAATTTGCGGGTAGACTCGAGTTTCACTTGACGGGCTTTTCGTGAACATCCCTGAATACAGGCCGAGCCCATGCTCTCTGTAATGTTGGGTTAGTTGTGCTAGGCCATTCCCAGATATTCATCAAAGGCGGTTACTAACCCTTGTGGTTCACAGCGACCGTGGAGGGTTGCCAGGATTGGTTGACCCAAGGCATGTTCAAACCTGAGGTCTTGTGCGTACTATTGGACATTATCTTTGCCAATGCGCTTCATCTATTTCTCATGAATAGCAATGAAATTGTCCGCTTCCCTATAACTTATTATTTCCGAAGTGAAGTGAAGCAATAAACCAACCCATTCATGCAACACTATGACCATCAGAACTTCCTTATCAACTCATGGAGAATCCGATTATCACACGACATTTCATAAGTGTGTCAATGAATCCGGTGGTGAAACCTGGGATTTGCACACAAATTTCATTCTCTCTGTCTTTCCTTTCTATTTACTTCATTTATTTCCGGTATGTTCAACGCCTAATGGAATCAAGCAGTTCGTTTCTCGTCTGAAGCAACATTTTTATTATCAAACATAACTACGACATAGAACACACAGAACTTTGTCATGAACACATATTGAAGGACAGTTGAGCATCGTTTGAATTTAAGTAAATGATTTCGCACCTAAGGTACCCAAGGTGGCATAGAGCACAGTCAAATTTCTTAATAATAAAGCTTAAAGAGTTGTTGAATGAGAACATACTTCTCGTTTTCCATAGACAACGATTGACGTTAGATCACATGGAAAACTGCTCTAATTTCTTGTTCGACATTTAGTAAATACTAATAGAATTCATTCAAAAACCAAGTGTTAACTGCAAAACCACGTCAAGAAAAATATAGCTCCACCTTCGCCCATCCCAAATTGTTGGCCTTAAGTCAAATTTCAATGAAAGTGGTGTTCTCAGTCAACTTACTCACAAATTTCTCAGAAGTATGAAAGTAAATAGCAATAAGTGAGATTTTTAATAATGAGCATCAACCCATAGATAGGGTCTGAGTGCTTAGAAGAGCACGAAGCTACAGTCGTTAACACTCCTGTAAGAGATCCTTACAGGTGCATGCAAAATTGCACATGTGACGGATCTCTGTGGAGCTTCCCAAAAACTTAGAATGTTAGGTTGAAGCTCTAAGATTTAAAAATTTTTCCGCAAACAACTTAGGTATGCTAAATCATAGAAGTGAAGAACTAGATACAATCACAATAAAAAATATCTCGAAAAGAAAAAACGTCTTGGCACAATAGCAATAGGAAAGTGCTCCGTTTGTTGAGCACAAAGAATCGATCAATCGATAACTGTGCTATCGATACGATCGTTTGTTCGATCGCAAATTATCGATTGGTGGCAGATCACAGCTGAAGCATATATACCAACGGGATATGGTCGAATTGCACTTAAGAGGAAATTTGGCGAACGTTGATAAAATCGAGCACTCTGAACAAGGAAAGACCAACCAGAAAAGCAATAATTACAAGTAAGTGGATGAGGAAAAAATAAGTGAGATGAATGTGAGGCAACAATGTGAAAAGGAATATTAGAAGAAGACTTCTATAACATGTTCACTCCCGATAACCAAGACATAGCAAAGTCGATCACATAGAGAGCAGTGTTGATGAAGCAGAGTATCTAAAATGATCCAGTCAGAACACGCCTATGAAACATAAAAGATAAACGATAAGGCTTTGGGTGTTTATCAGTCCTTGAAGAGAGCGCCATGCGCATTCCACTTCATAAAGCATCGTTCGGAGCTGATTGAATGCATATCTGACTTATACAATGACTTGCGCTGGCCTATTAATCTAGACACAAAGTTTGCGTTCCTGTTCCAGAAAATTCTGGTAGCAATTTGCTAACAGTGAACAGCTGGAGGTGGTTTTTCTCAGGGAAGGTAGGAAATTGACAAATGACCACATGTATTGTTGCAGGTTCCACTAACCACTGCGGTACACGAGCCCATGAAGCAAGTAGTTGTAGGAGCTTGACTTATGACTTGAAAACATTGCTCGTCGAAGGCATTGCCTCAGGTTGATTTAAGTGCATAAATTAGGACCTAAGCTCTGCAACCAACAGTTTCTCTTATAGCCACGAATCATGGAGCCGAGTAAGCAAGGATTGAATAGAACGAATTAAGCCTGAAGGTAACATATTCAAACGCCTGTTGTACGTGGCAGCGCAATGGTTAGTGATGTCGTCGATCAGGAAGGCTAGTTCGATCCCCAACCAACGCTATCTTCCAGTTCACGTGGAAATGCCTTAACCCCGCTTTTTCCGAGACTTCAAGGAAAGAAAGGAAGCACGGTCAGCATTCTACGGCATTCATAGAAGATAAAGCTCTCAAAGAGTAGTTCAAACAACGCGCGAAATTCTCGACGACCATTGTGAACGATGAATGCTCGGAAAACGAATTGGATGGAAGACATGTTGGGACCCGCATTGTAGATGTGACAACGGATCATGTAAAGAAAAAAGGCCTGATATTATGCATTTAGAATTCACAAACTAAGAAAAAACGAAATTTAATTGAGTTAATATGTTCCGTACGGTAATCACTACTGATTTTTGGGAATATGTTGAATTACGCGCTAGTGCTTTGGACGCTCTACTGATAAAATACTGTGGATGGAATACGCCATTACTCTTTCAGGGAGCTAATGCGTTCAGCACCACACTACACGGGTCTTTCGTTCCGCCCTTCTCTCAGCTAGATTAAAATATTTTAGAAATATTCCAGGTCCAGTCTCTCTCTATACACATGTTTATTTATTTTATAGTTTGGATGATCGGTGCGCGGATCTCAGTACTTCGTGCGTTCGATTCGTCCATGCATCCACCATCCACGGATGTCTTCGAAATTCCCATGCGTGGTTACGGCTGACACTTGAAAATTTTCGTTTTCATGGTGAACATCTTTAAACGCTGGTTGACTCGATTCTCTTTGAATTGCTGGGACAGCCATGCTCAGGTGTTCCCAAGTGGATTACGGAGAGTCATCGGGTCCCAGGCAACCCTGCTTTTAATTTCGCGATCATAGTGAAATGGAGGCGTTGATTGAACTAGGGTGTGGGATCGAATAAGAAACCACAGGTCTATTACATGGCACTTCTAACCACTGAGATGAGCGGTGACAATCTATGAATTAGGCTACCGTTGCAATGATCCATTCTGCTCGATGACAGACTAGATTTATTCGCGGCCCGTTCGGTGGATAGCATGCGGCATAGTAGGCCTCGAGACAAGAAGCGAGGAGATAGGCGAGTATCCCGAGTAAGGTCACATGTGCATCCTGAAATTCATCACTTCTATTAGATGTCAATCTGGAACAAATTCTTTTAGAATCCATCAGTTGCTTTTTTTAGCATGAAAAGAAAGCTCACCACTTTTCGCCACAAATGCATCGAATTCGCCAGAAAACTTGTCAGCAACAAAATGACAGTAAAAATCGCCCATGTGGAAACGATACCGATCACAGCTCCTTTAAAATACGTTTTTTATTCATTAAAAAAACGTCCTGCATAATCTAGACATCCTCTTAGTGATTTTCCAGATCATCACGGCTTCTAAAGAGGAGATACCGGTGCTTTATCGAACTGCGATGAACAGTGAGGAAGGAAAATTAGTTCTTCCGGTTTATATAAAGCGAAAATTATTTAAATAGAATTAGAGAATTCGGTAACGATAATCGAAATACCGCCGAATAATCTAAGGCGCCAGCTAGTTCGTAACCGCCTATACGACAGTCTATGTGCAATGCAAATTTGCATAATTTGCCCCATTGGTAGAGACGGTGACTGCATGAGTTTGGGTACAGTCTACCTGATCTCTTGTAAAGCGTGCGGGAACGAATACGTTGGCGAAACGGGTAGACCACCCTGCATACGTGTAAAAAAACACCCAGCCGGCAAACGTAAGCTAAGTACTCCACTAGGTACGCATAGCACGCAGAAACATAACGGAGAAGATTTTAAAGTAAGGGTTACGATCCTCGCGCAAGAATCGAGAACACAAGCGCGCAAAACTCTAGAGGCATTCTGGATAAATTCCAAGAATCCGAAAATGAACCGCAGGGAGGAATGCCCTGTTATCACGCGTGATATTGGACAGTATATAAACCTGTTATTCTGATGGGAGGGGCACATTACGCTTCCATGTGAATTCTGTGCGGTCGGTCTTCACGCGATATACTCAGTGGAAGACTCATAGAAAGCGGTGAGTGTGCAGAGCTATGCTAAATGTGATTGAAATCTTGGTTTAGAGTTTTCTCTGTTTGGTTATGGAGGTGTTTGGCCGAGTGGATTGCTGTCAACTTGACCCTTCCAGGCTCTGAGGAAGGCGAAATCCGCCGAAACGTCAGCTTGTGCGTAAATAAAGAAATAAAATAGCACCTCGTGCTTGCTGAACAGAAGTAGAAAGATATATTATTTAAATACTACTACTCCGAAATCTGGATAGGAGTAAGCTTTTTTTACAACAAGGTCCGGATAAAAAGCATCAAAAGAAAAAATGTGATACCCTTCGTGCCTTTAGAGCATGCGATACTCGCTGAACGAATCTGGTGTGTGATGGGCAACTACTGAAGAGCTTACAGGAACTCCTTGTTGAGTTCCTCAATGATTAGTCGGATTAAAGATAGTACAAACTACCATTGAGAAAGCGGGAAAAAGAATATCATGAATCAACGGAGACTTCGAAATTAAAGAAACTCATTCTCTCAGTTGTCACTATCCCGAGTACTCGTCTCTCTGTATCATCAAATGGGAAAGGCAAAGTTGTATATACAAGTATATATTGGTTAAGTTTGAGTGTTTTGCGCTAAACTTTTTTATCATAGAAAAAGGAAAACTAGTAGATTAATAATAGCTAGTCACCTGTATCACCTGTAGCCCCGTTGATCATCGTGTGACTCGAGCCGGCGCCAGTAAATCTTCCATTTTTCCCTGTCGCGTTCAAGAGCAGCCCAGTGGGTTCTGTTCGCTCTAGGGACTCGTCGAGCATCATATCTTTCTTTAAGGGCCTCTTTGTGAAGAGCTCTGACCAACGTGTCGGTGGTCTTACTGCAGTACGTTTGACATACTGAGGAACCCAGTTACTAACGGCTCTTGTCCATCGGTTGTCATTCATACGCATTGAGTGTCTGGTCCACCTTATCTTCGACTGTTTCGCGTACAGAACGGCATCCTTGATTTTTGGTCGTTGATTCTGAGCTTACTTGTGTGAAACGGGATACTCCTAGCATCGTCCTTTCGACTGCGTGTTCGATACCGCTGAGTGATCTTTCATCCTGCTTACGCAGCGACCAGGTTTCTGACGCATACATTAGGGCAGGAAGTACTGTTGAGTCGAAAAGGTGGGCACGGAGTCGGGTGTTCTTTGCTCTCTTCACTACATACTCGATGCTCTTGAAAGCTCCCCAAGCCGTTCGTTTTCTTCTGCTGTTATGGAGCTAGGTCTTTCATCATGTTGACTTTCTGACCTAGATAGATATAACTGCAGCATTCATAGATATTCGTTCCGTTGAGCGTGAATGGGGCATGCGAATCTTTGCGAAGAATCTTTATGTACTGAAGAGCGACTCGTTGACTGTCAAGGGCTTCTCAGACTGCTTCCATCTCAACTGAATCAAAGGCCTTCTGCCAATCGATGAAAATGGGAAAGAGCGGTCTTTCTACTCTCGCGATACTTCAGTGAGCCGTGTTACCATATGGATGTGGTCCATCGTCCTAAATCACCTTCGAAACCCTGTTTGCTCACATGGCTGTCCTTCGTCTAGTGTTCAGTCAATCCTGTTTAAGATGACTCGAGACAAAAATTTGTAGACAACAGACAGTAAGCAGATTGGGCGATAGTTGCCGATATTGTGCAGGTCACCCTTCTTGAATAATAACACGGTCTTTTATTCTTCCACTGAGTAAGGACCTTGAATTCAGACAGGTAACGTGTGAAGAGCCGAGCTAGTGTGTTTCCGAGGACTGGCGGAAGGTTGTTCAGGTGTTCAGGTCCTATTCTGTCAAAACCTCGTGCTGTTCGATTTTACACCGATGAAATGGCATTTTGGACTTCGGAAGGGAGAACCGGCGGCACAACATATCCGTCCTCCTTTATTTCGTATGACGGAAGGTGGACGTATCTATCGAAGAGATCTGAGTAGTATTCGTGAGTGATTTCCTCCATTGCCTTTCTGGACGCTATAACTGTTCCGTCTAGGCATCGAAGAGCAATCATTTTGGTCTTGTAATTTTCAAAGCTTCGGTGGGCTTTGCGAATGCTTTTCCCAGCCTCTGCCACTTCGGCCATTACTGCTGCTCTTCTCTCTCTAAGATCTTCTTTTATCACCTGTCTACATTGTTTTGCAATCTCGGACGTTAGTTCGCGGCTGCCTGCAGCTCGTGCGATTCCACGCTGGCGTATTAGCTCGAGTGTTTGTGGAGACAGACGTCTCTTGGTGACTTTCGAACTCTGAGCTTTCATAGCGCTACCTTGAAGGCGTTGAATGGGCCGATCGTATTCTTCGTCGATGTTATCGACAACGGCATCTTCCCAACGGCCGACTAATGAAGTGAACAAATCCCAGTTTACGGTGGTTCTGGGACTTCGGCTTTTCAATTTAGCGGCTTTTTCTCCTTTCCGAGAGAAATAGAATCTTGCTCGAAGGAGGAGATAGTCTGATCCCGTATAGAATTTTGGGACAGCGACATCGGTTAGGCAAAGCCTTCTATCTACTATGATGTGGCCTATCTCCTTATCACACTTTCCACTGGAAGACTCCCACGTCCAGCGTTGAGGATGGGGCTTCTGGAATTGCGAGTTACCATGGATTGTCATGGTCGCGATAATAAACTCAGATAGCCGCTCACCCTGTTCGTTCCATTCTAAACCGTGTGTCCCAATGTGACGTTCTTCAGACGTTCTTCTTGGTCCAATCTTGGCGTTGAACGCTCCAAAGATGACCTTGAAGAATGTGTGGTCTTCTCTGTAGAACTTCTCCAAGTCCATATGGAACGCATCGACTTCTTCTTCGTCATAGCTTGATGTCGGGGCGCAAACGACGAAGATTGTTAAAACCGGAATTAATCCACGTCTTTCTAATCGTAAACGACCGATTCGGATTGTATGTTGTTCGAATGAATCGAGGTTCATGGACAAACTCGTGTTGACGAGAACGCCGACGTCGCAGACTCCTCTACTGTCGCACGTTCCGAGGAACAGTTCTTCTCCGGTGTCATAGACGGCGTTGAAAGGCTGGCGTCTCCTCGTCTCGGCCAGACCGATGACGCCGTGCCTTATCCTCCTTGCTTGCATGATCAAGTCTTCTATAGAGGACTCGGATGCAAGTGTACGTGCATTGTAGGCACAGATCGTCATCATAATTATTTGAAAGCTAGGCAGCTTCCATTGGCCCTGAGATTTTAGCAGCCTCTCCGTACTCGTCCTTCCCAACGCTGCGAAATTGGAGGCTCTTTCGGGGTCAGGGGAATAAGGCCCGTTTTTCTTTACTTCCCATATACTTCCCTGTCACTTGATTCCAGACTTTTGACCGAATTGACTCGTAGAATACAATCCGCATAGGCAAGAACGCACCCACACACGCATGCATAAATACGCCTAGCAAATACAGAAAGTATGTGCGAAATCAGCGCAGCAGAAACAGAGAGTCCATCCCCTGGAGCCATCTGCGTCTCAAAGAAGCAAAGGTCGCTTTTGGTTCGCTATTAGCTCCCTATCCGCCACCTGGGGACGCGCCACGTAGCCTCGCGACTAACCCGCTCGAGATCCTCATATGAGAGAGATCCGTGACTAATAATAGACAAATATCGGGATCCACCACTGCCCCGGTATGAAACTTGTCGTATGGTGACAAATCTCCCTCTGATTCACGAAAGCTGGCGACTGGTTGTGGTGGTGAAGACCTGGGGCAGACTTTGGCTGGGCTGACCTCGGGACTGCAGGGAACCATAATGGTTAGACCAGCAAAACTCCGAAAAAACGGAAATTATGCTGGGACCCGAAACACCAGTGAAGACGACCCATCCAAGTGTCCAGGTAGGGAATAGTAAACAAAGATACAATATAAAATGTGAGTGGCTGCACTTTTCTTGGAAACATATCCTACATACGCATGCCGACGTGTTCTTAAGCTTAAGATCGTGAAAAGGTAAAATAAAACCAAAATTTTAGTGGTGGACAGAAGAAATGCAACATCAGCGAATGCTTTGGAACAGATATTGCTTCTTCACTGTATACTGATCTATAGCATTAGTCGATCAATCAATTCACAGAATGCCTAGATTACCCGCGTTGGCAAACCGTACGAGACCCATTACGACTTCGCTTAAATCAGTAGTTAATTGAGAGAAATTTCCCACCAAGGAATACAATAACCACGCCATGGAGATGTCCGGTGAAAGAACTTATGTCAAAGTAGAAAATCTTACTAGATACCTTGCCATTCGGTGTTGGTTCGGATGACAAAGTCATGGAAGGTGTTTCCACGCATGGGACCAAGTACGAGACCAAGAATAGCCGCACCGAGAAGCTGAACAATAGAAAGTAGTTGGATTTTTTCAACAAACAAGGCCTAATGCACGACAGTTTCTCACCAATTGAGCAATTTTCACTGCAATCCTAGCCATGATAGGATACTTCTTCGTGTCTAGCTTTTTTTCTGTTCGTATCATCGTTGAAGGCGGATACGTGGTATATGATGGTGCATAAAACGGTCGTAATCGTCGTAACGTTGCAGGGACCTTGTGTTTTTGGGTTAGATTGATAAAGATATCGAAAAACGGCGAAAAATCGTCTGAAAAATCGCGAAGAGACTTCTCACCTCATTCGTATAGGGTCGATGAAGTTGAGAACTGTAGTCTAATGGCGTGCCACCGAATTCGGTTTCCTATAACAGAAATTCTCATTAGATCGAAAAGCGAAACCGTTAGGCTACTGAAGCCATGGCTCTTTTCTTGAATGAGTTAAGCATGTTGACAGAGATTATTTTTTAGTTGACTCTCAAAACTCGCAGAATGAAAGAGGAACTTCCAGAAGCAACCTGGTATTGTCCTAATCGATATGGATAGGGATCGCGACTTCTCCTATAGATAGGTGACGGTTTTTTGGCAGGACCAGGAAATGCCTGAAAATAATCAGCTGTGCTACAGGAAGACAACAACACGGAATTGGGCAGTATGCTGGAGTTTTCGAAAAAGAACAAAACTTCCGGCTTCTTGCACTATCTCTAGTATTCCTAAGTATTTAAAAAAACTAGTCTAGAAGTCTTTTAGCGACCTTTAGCTGTTTTCAAACCCAGTTTTTCATTATGAGTACGGCCTTGGTTCAACTCTGCCGCAGGTTCACAAAGCAATTCACCTGGGTGGGGAGATTGCTATAAGACTAGACTAGTTCATTCTCTGGAATCCATCTGAGAGTGTTCTAGCCCGGGTATCTCAGGAGCCTAAGAAAAGTCACCTGACTAGCATTCAAGGAGATTCATAAAGATAACGGTAATCTTCAAGCAGCAGACAAACCTACACGCGATAAGTTAAAAAACCGTTGGCGAGGAAACGAATCGAATGCAAAAAGTGCTGAGATCGTCAAAATAGATGTGAAGATGTGTTGTGTAAAATAAATAGTAATAGAGTAAAACACTAGAAAGAGAAAGGTCAAAGAAGATAACAGATATCATATGTATTAGTGGATGATATCATGGCTCAATTGAGTTCCTCGAGACGTACCTTAAACTGTCGCCTGTCGTAGACATCTGCGGATACTCCTCGCGGCTTCCGCGTTGATGTTGCATTCGTTCGAATGGTAGGTTCAAGGAAACGGGCTGGGGTAGTCCTGAAAAGCTGCGGGAAGTCTTCATAGGAAGTTCCAGGTCAGGATGTATTCCAAAAAAGTTGCTTTTTTATATGTACTTTGTCTACTTAGTACATTATATAAAATTAGAATATCGGTCAACGTAAGGTTTTCTTAAATTCTAGCCGAACTTTTGAAGTTGTGTGACAAGAAAATTAAAATTTAGAGCACGGAATTCTAAACAAGGAGAGTAAGGAAAAAGACTAAAACAAACAACATGATATCAATTCTATTCATTGAAGAAGCTTGGCCAAGATCTCATCCACTTGTAATTAGGATGGTGATTTAATCCTTTTTTTCTACTTTACTGTGATGTTAATAGATCCATAACTTATCTAGAAAACCATTACTAGCTAATTCACCGTGACCTCCTTGGTGGTGATGGTTGAGGTTGCGGATATGGCCTATACGCTCCGCTTGAGCCCGGATATGGTCCATAAGCTCCCGGATAGGCTTGGCTTGGTTGGTAACTGTAATTGTAGTAGGCTTGCCCGTTAGTATGATATGGTGTGTACGTATAACCGTCATAATACGGGAACTGCTGGGCGTCACCGTATGCCGCATCTGAATTAGCTGCTTTCAGACTGTTTCAGATATCGTTCGCCTATTGATTTGTTGACTAATCAGTTGATGGTGTTAACGCGATTATGATGGGAAAATTCAACTCACCTATGTACGCGTTATGGCCATAAGGTTCACGAGTATAACCGCCATTGTACGCACCAGGCATATAGTAGGCGGCGGCGGTGTTGATTGGTTGCGCCGTGAACCCACAAAAAGGCTCCTGAAATCCAAGCGATAGCCAACGAAACCGATTTGTGATTTATAAGCTGTGAAGAGCGATTTTAGAATTGACGAAGGAATCCACTCGTATGAAAATACGAAAAACACTAATCACCAGTTTCTCAATAGCGTGAAGATATGACACTGATACGACCTGTGCGATAAAATTTAAAACTGAACTTCACGCCTTTTTTGTCTTCGTGTTCTCTCCTTGTTCTGATTATCACATTCGCTCAATCTTCGCCTAGTCATCTAAATTCGTCCTCAGAACGCTCTCCGAATCGTCCCTTCACCTTCACCGCTTCAATCATTATTGTTCCACTCATCCTTAGTTTTGTTCTATTTTTCGCCTTATATTAACCATTAAACTCAAGAAGTGCAATGGCTAGAAATGTCGTGCAATAATACACTTGATCGCTGCTTCGACCTCGTCTCGATTCAACCAAGCTAAGCATCCCTCCGGGGAGAAAATTACTACAAGCCATGTCTGCGAAAGGCACTCTAGATTCATAAAAGCAAACGATGATCGATCAGCATTCAACCACATGCATGAAGAAGAAGTCATCAAGTGATGGATGGATCTTCACATAAATCTGAAGGCCTTCGTCGATGATGCATGCGAGACAATGAAACGAATGAAACAAAGACGGAATATATGAAAAAAGAACGAATCGGTTAATTAACAAATCACCGGTCAAACTTTCTTCTCTTTCTTTATTTTTTCCTTCTTTCGTTCTTCCTATCATACACTATCAGATTTCACCTCTGAAGCTTAAACTTCGTCCGAAATGTTTGTCGAATCGCTATACTGTGTCCGCGGCTTATTTATTTGCGTTACAACGTCAATCATTGAACAGCGGGAGCATAGTTCAACGAAAAGAACCACTATGGCAGAACTGGAACCCAGAAGGAAATCCTGGACGAGTTTCTTTAAAAGCTTTGCCTTTTCTGATAGAACCTTTTAATATTACTTGTGACTGAAAATTCATTAGAATCAAGATTAGATGAGATTTTCGTACAAGTGTTTAAGGATTTTGATGTTGAATTGTTTGGTAGCATTTCTAAATAAAACAGAATTTCGATGATTTTCTATAAGTTGAAAAAAGGAACGGTATCTTCTTAGAGGCTTTCTTTCTTCTTTCGTCCCATCTGAGGAGGTACAGAAGAAATTTGAAGAGGAAATTCGATACTATGGTGAGATCTACGAAAAAAATCGATTACCGACAAAATGACTAAAGTGTAATATCGATAGGAAATCGGTCATGAAAGGAAGATGTCTCGTATCGCATGCGGGACACGCTTTAACTCGAGACAGCAGCGTTTCCTAGGTATAGGTTCCCCGATTGGAAAACGAATGTCTGGGGAATTTCCGCGGCAGCTCAGACTATCACGTAACGCAAAGACTCATGGGCGACAATGAATACTAAACTGGGAGAATTTCTAATGACGCACCCATAAATAAAGCGTAAAACATAAGACAAAACAGAAATGAACGCAATCAATGGAATAAGTTGACCGGTCGGAAATCAATACCACACATGGAAATCGCATGGAATTTGGTGGGTGTGTCAATTAAACAAAGACTGAACGCCCCCAACTGGACATCAAATCGAGGTCTCTACCTTAGATGCGGAAGGCCACGGAAGAAGAAGAAACCGAGAGTGGTCCGGTTTCGGAAAACGACAAAGCAAACATCGCGAGATTGGACTTGCTAGCTGCTTTTCTTATATTCCCTACACATTCAGAATAATCACTATTACAGAAGAAGCGAAAAAAAAGCGTTTACATCTTGTCAGGTGAACTACTCGTTTTTATTTGTTTAACAAATCAATCAGTAAAAGTCATTAATAAAATTTCATTTTGGTAATTTCGGTATTCCTCATAATGGTTTACCCCCTCGCCATGGCTGGGAGGTGTTCCTAGGTGTCAGGCTGCGTTGTACAACAGAGGGATTCATACCCTCCCCATCCCGCAGCAGGGTCTTTCAAGCTGTGGAGCCCGTTGTTTCCATCAAGAAACCCAGTTAAGAGTAAACCAATACCAGGACCAATCACCGTCCTGGTATCAAACTAGTTGCATGGTGGCAAATCCCACTCTAGCTCACAAGGGCAGCGACAGCCTGTGGCGGTGACGACCTGGGGCAAACTTTGGCTAGGCCTACCTAGCGACTGCAAGGAATCACAATGGCTAAACTACCAAGCCTTCGAAAAATTGTAAATTATGCTGGGGCTCACACAACCTGTGAAAACAGTCCACCAAATACCCAAATATCCAAGTAATTTTTATATAGAAAGAGTAAATTGATAAATATTTAAACGTATGTGGTATAATCGGCCTGTAAAATCGTCTTCGTCAAGTTGCTTGACTGGTCGCAGAAATTCCTGCCTGCGGCAGTCCTCCCGCCTTCAAAGATGGCGACATTTTTGCTGTTTGTTGCTTAGCAGGAAGGCAACACATGTCCCTGGCCGACACCTATCTGTGTCTTGGTATAATACTTGCACGGCTGCATCAGAAACTTCCAGAGAAATTTACGCTCGATCAACAGTCAAAATGCCAATGAAGGTGTAGGTTCTGAAACTGCAGCCGAATCCATAAACAGCTCCATCACCACTATTGGCGTTGGAAAACAACGAAAAGGGTCGGTTATAGTTTGAGGCTGGAATGAGATGTGGATATGTGATCAAACGAGTATCTATGGCTCACATTTTATTCAATATATTAGATGTTTATTTGCCTATTTGCTTGTTTTCCGTTGACTAGTGCGATAAATCACCGATTTAGTCGCACATCGAAGTTAGTTTTCTCACTTGGTTTTACTCCAATATTTTTTATCTTACTGGTTGGACGCACCACTGCGACACACACATGGAATCGATCCATGCGCCCATGGCACACCAAGCCTTCCATCCCTCCGAGGTCGGCAAGTTGGTACCGGACTTGTCTGAGAGGATAGCAGCACTGGCTCGATACATCGGTAGGCCACCGCGAGTCATTGTAAAGGCCAGATATGCATTCAGTCACCTCCAACGATACTTAATGAAGTCGAATGCATGGCACTTCCTTCAGAGATTGATCAACGCCGAGAGCTTTACCCTTCACTTTATCCTTTCATTGAATGCATATTTAGCTCATATTACTTGCGAAAACCTACCGGTATATCAAATAAGTCAACGGTTTTCTCCTCCCAGGCATGCTGGTAGCAGCTTGCCGCCCCGAAGAGGAGGGATTGGTTCGCGCGAGAACGTTTCAAGTAATACGGGTTAAACCATGCACTGATTTCCGCACAAGTGAATATAACCACAAGCCCACCTGTTTCTAGAAACGAATTCGAATACTCGATCTTATACAGAGATTACAGTGATTTTTCAAAGTTGACTGGATTATCGATATGGAGAAGTGACGAAGGGTCGTCAAAGGGAAGTGACAACGTGAAGAGACCTCAACTTAAGCACTTCGTTTAAATTACATCATTTTAACGAAAAAAACACAACGCTTAAATAAACCTAGCTACTTCGGGTAAGCACAAAAATACAACGCATTATAACCTTAGTGATGCTGAGATATTTGCAAAACTCCGGACCCCAGATGTCTGCGGTTGGTAACGAACGCACTATTACCTTTTCCGGGTGATAACGCGTTCACCACCACACCATGTGGGTCTTTCGTTTTCCCTGTCTCTCAGCTAGTTTTATCGATCAGTGCCATCAGCAATCACCTGTCAGCGGGAAAAAAACAAAGTATTATATCGCGAGAAAATAAGAAGTTCTTATCGACATAGCAAAAAATAGCTATAGGATAGACTTCTTTCGTACTGTACTAAATTAAGGGTGAAGTATAAGATATGGTTAGAGCCCCCACGCAGTACACTCGGACTCATTCGTTCAATCTTGCGCTTCGGACTCACTAAGCTTTGCACTCCTCCGAAGTCGGAAAATTGTTAGTAGACTTTAAGGGAGGACAAAACATTAACTTCATACATCGGTAAGCCATCGCAGTCATCGCATAGGATAAATACGTATTCAACGATCTCCGCCATGCCATGAATGGAGTGAATGCGTTACACATGCCTCAGGAACTGACCAACGCCGAATGCTCTGTGCTTTATGTCTTCACCAAGCTGGGTAAAATTTTGGGAAGTCGTTTTTTTCCAATTATTTAAAAGACTTTAATCCAAACTTTCTAAGCTCGATGTTTGCAGGGAAGTTCTCTAAAGGTTTCAATTAACAGTGTAGTAAATATATTTGGAATCCTCAGCAAGAATGAAGCCATCAAGTGGCACTCAATGAAAACGGAGAGTGATAAATTTCACACAAAACACCACAGATTTTTATCAGTTTGTTTTCCAAAGAGTCAAGAATTTAAAGCATCATTAGTATATACAGAATTAACCGAGAGTGTGCTTAGCTCGTCTTATACGATAACTATTGGTATCACGGATATCGAGGGCTTCTCGTAGGCCATGCAATCGACATTTCTGTGACAAGTCAATTATTATTGGGTGAATAGATTAGATGAAAGATTGAGTCCCATCAATAGCACCAGAACTCGGATGGTCCGAGGCATCCATGAAGGTCGAGTGGAAATCAAACCGATTTGTTGAGCAGCTTACACCACCACGCATTACCGTACAACACAGTAATTTAACGGTGCTTGAATTTTGAGACACTCTTAAAGACGTCTCAGATTAGTTTCAACCGGAAGTCAAATAATATCGAATCCAAAAGGATGTACAGTCTCTCCTCTCAATAGTAGGGACCCTGTATAATAAACAAGAATTAATTCTCAACCCTCGAAATACCAAGATATCCTGCAACTGAAGTAAGAGAGAATTGGAAAAAAAATTGAAGAAAACGCAAAACCGACACCTTTCAGAAATATTAAGAATTAAAAAGTTGCCACTGCTAGTTTTTCAGAGGTAATAGGACTTAAGCATGGAATAAAATGTAGATATACTTGCATGGTATTGTACACGTATCTTAACGGATACCTGATATATATACATATACAAAATTTAATGCTGATTTTGAGAAGGCGAACAGTACATTGGTAGTGGCCTCTTATATTACTTGGACAGCTCAACGTTAGTTCATCTCCGCCCCGGGCCAACTAAGCTTCTAATCTCCCGACGGTCGTTTGCTCGCTAGCAGATTTGTGCGGAAAGATTCACTTCTTATAATCCACGCGAAAACCCTGTAGCATGGCAAACCTAGAGACACCGACGCAACCAACATTCAAAGGGGTTCGTGAAGAAAACGAAAGAAATCTTCAAGAAACAGCCGAAGCCACACGCGGAAACTTCAAAGATCTTCGT